CTTGGCTCAGTGGATAGCGCGTCAGCCTGCGTACCGATGGGTCCCGGGTTTGATTCCAGCCAAAGGCACATGCCTGGGTTGCGGGCTCGATCCCCAGTAGCGGGTGTGCAGGAGGCAGCCGATCAGTGATTCTCTATCATCATTGATGTTTCTATCTCTCCTTCTCCCTTCCTCTCTGAAATCAATAAAGAAATATATTTAAAAAAAAAAAAAGAAGGTAAGGGAGGAGGTTATATGGGGATTTGGGGAAAGAGTGTTCTAGGCAGAAAACAGCTAGTGCAAAGGCCCTGTGGCAATGCTATGCCTGGCATGAGTAGAGAAGACCAAGGAGGCTAATGTGGCTGGAGTGGAGTGTGTGTGTATGTGTGTGTGCATGTGTGTGTTGAGGGGGTGGTATGGTATAGCAGGAGATGAGGTCCGAAGTGCAGGGAAGCAGATGAATTAGGGTCTTCTGAGCCACAGGGAGGACTCTGGCTTATACACTGGATGGGGTGGGAACCATAGGAGGGTTCTGAGCAGAGGAGGGATGGGATCTGATTCGGGTGTTCATAGGGTCCCTCTTACTGCATATAGTGGGGGACTGTGTGGAGGGCGTGACCTGGAAGACCAGTGAGCAGGCTACTGCAAAGTGAAGGTGAGAGATGATGGTGGACAATACCATCATCTGGGAGGAAGGGGGGCAGAGAAGGTATTTAGGTGTATATAGGTTCTATATCCTCCCTGGTTTCTGTCTCCTCTTAATGTAGCCATTGGGTCTTTCTAAAGCACATCCTATCCTGTCTCTCTTGCTTAAAACCATTCATGGCTCCCAGGGTCCATGAGATATAGCTGAGGCTCCTCAGCCTGGTGTTTGACTCTGCATCTCTTTCCTGCTTCAACTTGCATCTCTTTCCACCTCTCAGGCCACTGTAGCCACACTAAAGTTTTTTCTATATTTCTGGGTCTTTGCTCATTTTGCTGCTTCTGCCAGGAACACTGTTCCTTCCCTCTTTTCCATACTAACTTCCTCCCTCTCCTTCAGGAAGCCGTGTTTGTTCCAAACGACTTGACAGGCTTGCAAGATCCTACAGGATTTGGTCCCATCCTGACTTCTCTAGGGGTGTGAATGTCTTCCCAGTGCTCCCTCTGCACTTCATGCCCATTTCCCCTCCCAGCCATTGGCAGTTCCAGAGTGGCTGTGGGGGAACGGGGTTATACTGGATAGGCTTTGAAGGCAAAACCAAAATGATTTCCGGATGAGTGCATATGGAATTTGAGAGAGGAGTCCTGGGTAAGTTCCTTGGGTAGTGCTCTTTTTTCCATCCAAGCCTTTCCATCTGCTGTGCCTCGGTTGGGTGCGCCTGTCCTCCCGCCTCCTTTCTTACACCAACTCCTATTCTTTTTCTTCCTTTTATCCCTTGAAAGACTCTGGCTATGCAGAAATGAATGAGTATACTCTTCCCCCCAGGGCTTAGCCCAGGGTCTGTTTCAGGGTTTGCTCTCAGGGAATCAAATATAGTCAGATGATGTTTTTTCACTTTGTTGACTGCAATCTGTTGGAGGAAATATATGTTGATCTAATACAGGCACACACATATAAAACTGAAACACATGTTTTCTTAGCACCAATATTCTTTTTTTAAAAAATTGGTGATATTCACATAAGATAAATCTAGCCATCTGAAAGTGTGTCATTCAGTACTTTCATAAGATTGTGCAACTACCACCTCTGTCTAGTTCCAAAACATTTCATTACCTTAAAAGGAAACTCCGTACCCACTAAACAGTCACTCCTCGTTCTCTCCAGCCTCTGGCACCCACTTATCTGCTTTGTATCTCCATGGACCAATACCCTATATCATAACAGCCTAATATGCTAAGGGTCCGACCTTTCGACCAATTGCAATGATGTGCACTGACCACCAGGGGGCAGACGCTCCGACTGGTAGGTTTGCTTGCTGCTGGGGTCTGGCAGATCCAGACTGGGCAAGACGGGCTGGACACACCTTGGAGCCCTCCCTCGATCCCTACCCGGCCCCATCGTGCACCGGTGGGGTCCCTTGGCCTGGCCTGCACCCTCTCGCAATCCAGGACCCCTCAGGGGATGTTGGAGAGCCGGTTTTGGTCCTATCCCTGCAGGCCAGGCCGAGGGACCCCACCCGAATACCTGGGCCTCTAGTTATTACATATGATGCACTCCGATATTTTCTGTGTATTCCATTTTATTCTTAAAAAAATGTTTTTATTGATTTTAGAGAGAGAGAAGGGAGAGGGATAGAGAGATAGAAACATTAATGAGAAAGACACATGGATCGGCTGCTTCCTGCATCCCCCCTCCTGGGGATTGAGCCTGAAACCGGAAATCGAAATGGAGACCTCTTGGTTTATGGGTTGATGCTCAACCATTGAGCCACACTGGCTGGGCTCTATTTTCTTCTTTTTCAATCAAAGATTAGTCAAGGCCCACCAAACTGATTTCCCATCCCATTAATCCAGTGTTGCACATTGGAATCACCTGGAGATCTTTAAAAGCTACTGATGCCTGGGCCTCCCCCCAAAGATTCTGAAGTGATTTCAGGATTCCTGGAAGCTCCCAGGCATTGATATCTGTAACAGAGCAATGACTAAATATGTATCCTCAGTTTAGAAAGCCCTAGAATAAGACCTGGAGTCAGGATGATCCAGGACTGTAGAAGTTACATAGAGATACAAAGGTGGGGACATGAAATTTAGACACTGAGCTACCTTTTTACAGACTCAAGGAGACAGCTCTCTGAGGAAACAAGGAGAAACTCTCACAGAGAATGCCACAAGTTACATGCAGATGAGAAATAGAAAGTCAGATAATGTAGAAACTCCTGGGGAGAGAGAAAGGTATGGAGAGACAGACGCTGATAGGAGGGCACAAAGATACCCAGAAATGAGACAGACACACCAGCTGGACAGAGCCAGGATCCTTCCAGTTCACCTCACACTTTTCTTTCAGCTCACCTGTTCTCCAGGACCAGCCCTGTCCTTCTGACTGGGGTCCGGACCTAGGCCCTGGGAGGCCAAGTCCCTCACCTGGCCCCAGAGAAGCTGTCCTGACACCTGTTCCCCCTCCCTGGCCTGGTTGGGCCTGGCTGAGGGGCAAGACTGAGCCACGGGGGAGGGGGGAACCCATACCTGCTGCTGCTTCCTCTGTCTTGGCTACCCTCTATCCCCCTCGAACTCCTAACCATTCTCAAAGAGTTCCCAAAGCCTGTGACCAGGGCCATTGGCCCCAGCTCCCCCGGCCCTGCCATTGCGAGTACGAGTTATTTATTACCTGAAGGCTTACTTCTCCACTCCCATAAAGCATTGTTTATACCTGTGTCTTGGCCTTCATCATTTTGGGATGGCAGGGAGGGAGGGGAGGCAGAAGAGGTATCTAATGGAAGAATGAGTACCATGGTGTTTGGGGCCACGTTTCTGGATCAGACATGGTGTGGAGGTACACCATGACTCCGTGACTCAGGTAGGTGCCTGTTAACGAGGGAGTCTGTCACTGTGTGCACATTTTGTGACAATGTGCGCTGGAGGCCCACATATATAACACTGATGTCCCTGTGTGCCATTATTGATGGTATCTGTCGGAATATGTGCTGCTTGTGTGTGTGGCACTGTTGTTTGTGATAATTCTGTGTCCTTAGTGATTGTATTTATGAGGCTCTTTGGGACATCGAACAACATGAATAAGAATTTAGGCCTGTGGATGATACCTATACATGCCTGATGCCTGAAAGCCTGGGCAGTGTCTAACTTGCATGAGTGCCTCTTAGGTCTTTGTGTGTGTGTGTGTGTGTAAATACATTTTTTATTGATTTCAGAGAGGGAGAGAAAGAAACATCAATGATGAGAGAATCATTGATTGGCCACCTCCTGCATGCCCCTCACTGGGGACGGAGCCCACAACCAGCACATGTGCCCTGACTAGGAATCAAACGGTGACTTCCTGGTTCATAAGTCTGTGCTCAACCACTAAGCCATGCACGGCAGTCTGTGTGTTTTGATGTGAATTTGACTCCTTTGATACCTGTATGTGACCGTGAACTCTTTCTGTGTGTATGTGGGGCTTTGTGCAACCTGGACTCACGTGCATACTGAATCCAGCCCAGTATATTATCTTGTGTCCAGGTGAACCTAGGACACCTCATGCTATGCCAGGGACAGATAAGTCCCCTCCGGACACTCCCAACTGCTTAACCGCCCTCAAGTCTGCTTTAACCCACACAGGGAAGGCCTGCGTCTCTGTTCCACCTAGCCAGGGGATGGGGGCATTTAAGTGGACCTCCCTTCCGTCTGGATGTGTCAACCTCCAACACAATCCTCCCAGGCCCAGTCGCCTAAAATGTTCTTAAAAGACAAGGCTGTCATGCAAACATCTCTGCGTGGCTTTCCTGGGTTACTTTATTCTGACTCGAACACTTGTTGCGAGGGGACAGGGCGGAGTGGGTTATCATCCCTTCTAGTCTGAGATCCCTCCCCTCAAGGACATTCCGCACTGCTTTCCTCCGTTACATAAAGGCCTTATGTAAATTATTGCTGGCGTATTCATTTACATATATTTCCCAACTACCTGCGCCGACATTTCTCAATATCTCATCCCTATTCTTGAGCTGTGAGAAGGTGGAGCTGTCCATGTAAAAGACATCGATCTTTGCGTGGCACATCCCGACCGGCTACTCATTCCGCAGCGTTCTCGGCTCTGAGAAGATGGGCTTGTCTATGTAAATAGCATTTTTTGCATATTCCCGCATGTCAGCAGAAACTTCCCCGATTCAGCCCTTTCTAAATCCGAGCCTCCTCTCGCGAAAAGGGGGCGGGGCGTAGGATGCAAATGAGCCTCGTGTCGGCCGGCCCCCTCCCCTCTTTAGAGTGTGGCTGTTGTGAACGCCCATGCCCCGCCTCCCGCGGCTCGCGCCTGCGCACCGTCTCCTCGGCCCGGGTGCGGTCACGTACCCTCCCGGAGAGGCGGGGGCGGAGCGTCAGGGGCGGTGGGGGCGGGGTATGGCGAGCTGTGCGGCGCAGGGCGGCTGGAACAAACGGCGGCGCCGGGGTCGGAGGAAAAAGCTCGGTGAGGAGAGCTCGGGGAGGGAAGGGAGCGGGCGGAGAGGACGCTGGAGTCGGGGCGCCGGCGCGAGCCGGGCAGGGCGTGGGGGCGCGCTCCGGCCCGTGGCGGCGGAGCTCGGCGACCCTGGGGAGGAGGAATGGGGGTGGGGCGTGGGGGAGGGATCGCGCGACGGGCACGTTGAGTGCCTGCCGTGGCGCTGGTTGAGGTGGCAGCGGGCAGCGCGAGCCTGGCCGGGGGGAGGGGAGTGGGCAGGGGTCCGAGCGGCGCTCAGGCCCGACCTCCGTCTCCAGCTGTGCCCCGACGGGGTCGCCGTGCTCGTAGCGACGGGAGTTGGTTGGTAGGGGGCGCTCGTTTCGCCTAGTCCGGTCCCCGGTGCGTGAACCCTATCCGCCCTTCCCTGTCGCTGGGGAGCCCTCCTCCTGCGACTCCCTTCCGTCCGTCAGTCTGTCTCAGGACCTCCCTTCCGTCTGGATGTGTGTCAGCCCCCAGCAGGCTTCCTCTCGTTGGGGTAAGGTCGACCCCTCCACCCCGGTCTGTCCGGCTGTCTTAGGCCCTCCCTCCCAGCGTTTCCCCGGTTTTTCTGTCTGCCCCCCCTCCACCCCCCGCCCTCTGTTTTCTTTGTCTCTGGACTCCCCAGTTTCCTCTGCCTGTGGACCCCCACATTCCCTCTGTGTGTCTCTGGAACTCCCAGGCGGATCCCCCTGTTCGTCTCTATTCCCCACTCCCTCGCGGTCCTTTCCTACTCAGGCCCCTCCCTCTTTTCTGTCCGTCTGTCCCACCTGAGGTGGTTCTCTCCCCTGGCCCCGCAGTCCTCTCTCTGTCTTGGGTCATCTACCCAGCTTTACTCCTCCACCTGTCCCCCCTGACTCTTATCTGTCAGTGACTCCCCCCCAAATTCCAGGGGTCTTCACCCCCTAGTTGGCTCAGGTTTTTTTGGTCTCAACTGTCAAGTTTGTCTGCCTTTCTACTGCCCCTCCACCCTCCACCCTTTCCCCAGCCAGCCTGCCTCTAGGTCCTCAAACATCTCTTTTTTTTTTTAATCTTTCTCCAGTAACCCTGACAGGTCCCTTCCCAAGCCCCTAGGGACAGCAGAGGACTTGGGGACCAGCGAGCACCCCCAGGGCACAAGAAGAGCTGCTGCCACCTGCCCTGCCTCACCCTGCCCCACGCCAGGCCCGGCCAGCCCTGCCACCCCGGCCCCCAGCTGCATCAAGTGGAGGAGGAGGAGGCAGCGGAGGAGGGTGGCACCATGGGCCCAGGCCGTGCCCTCCATGCCAGGGGGATGAAGACGCTGCTGCCATGGACAGCCCGTGCCAGCCCCAATCCCTGAGTCAGGCTCTCTCTCAGTTGCCGGGTTCTGTGTCAGAGCCTTTGGAGCCTGGCCGGTCCAGGATGGGGGTGGAGAGCTACCTGCCATGTCCCCTGCTACCCTCCTACCACCGTCCAGGAGCACCTGCTGAGGCCTCAGCAGGCAGTGGGATCCCCAGAGCCTCAGCCACTTCCACCTCAGCCAGCACCCTGCTGGAGGGCTTTGGTGGGCAGGGTGGTGGCGAGCTGCAGCCACTGCAGAGTGAGGGTGCTGCGGCACTGGTCACTAAGGGGTGCCAGCGACTAGCAGCTCAGGGTGCCCGGCCTGAGGCCCCAAAGCGGAAATGGGCAGAGGATGGTGGGGATGCTCCCGCACCCAGCAAGCGGCCCTGGGCCAGGCAGGAGAACCAGCAGGCAGAGGGAGAGGGTGGCCTGGGCTGCAGCAATGGCGATAGCCATGGCCATGGTGAGGCCAGTGCCCGCTTGAGGGCAGAGGAGCTTCCTGCTGCACCTGAGCGCCTGGCTCTGGACTACATCGTGCCCTGCATGCGGTACTATGGCATCTGTGTCAAGGACAGCTTCCTGGGGGCGGCGCTGGGTGGCCGCGTGTTGGCTGAGGTAGAGGCCCTGAAGCGGGGCGGGCGCCTGCGTGATGGGCAGCTGGTGAGCCAGCGGGCTATCCCACCACGCAGCATCCGCGGGGACCAGATCGCCTGGGTGGAAGGCCACGAGCCAGGCTGCCGAAGCATCGGGGCCCTCATGACCCACGTGGACACTGTGATCCGGCACTGCACTGGGCGGCTGGGCAGCTACGTCATCAATGGGCGCACCAAGGTAAGGCTGCCCAGCACACAGTCATTGGATGCCTCATCCTCTGAGCACCAGTGGGTTTGGAGACACTTCTGGGGTCACAGAAGGGTTTAGGCAGCTTCAGTGGAGGGACTGTTAGAATTTGCTTTGGGCTTTCACTCCCTATGGGGACTCTAGAGGTCTGTGTGCTTTCTCCCTCTGGGCCATAGCTTGTGCACCTATAAACCAGGGTTTTGTGCTTTTTGATCTTACCAGGGATTCTCTTGAACATTCATAGCCCCACACATGTGCATGGGCCATGGTGGGGTTCACAGGCTCCTGATGTCTGTTCATGGGCCCCAGACCAAGAGCAGCCCATAGAGATGTCCCTGTCCTCATCCTTTTCTGGTCCCCCATCCTTTCATCTGTCACTGTCTGCTGGTTTGTCTGTCTAATTCATTCTGTCCCCATTGTCTCTGGCTGTCCACTCGGCCTCCCAGCCAGGAGAACCAGGAGGTGGAGGGCGGCGGGTGGCAATAGGTCAGTGCCAGGCTGGCCATAGGTCAGTGCCAGGCTGAGGGAGGAGGTGCTGCCTGCGCTCCTGGTGCTGGACTACATTGTGCTCTGTGTGCAATAGTGTGGTATCCGCGTCGAGGACAGCTTCCTGGAGGTGGCCTTGGGTAGCTATGTGCTGGCTGGGGTGGTGGTCCTGTCCTCATCATTCCCATTTCACCCCATCCTCGTCCCTGTTCTCCATCCGATCTGTCCTATCTGCCCATCACTGTATCCCTGTCCGGCTCAGATCTGTTCCTGACGACCTGCCTTTGTGTCTCTTCTTGGTCCCTTTTTCTTTAGAGTAGTAGTTATTAATATTTTTAGGGCCCTGAGTCTTTTTCAGAATCTGCCATTTTACATCATTTTCTTAAGGAAAATGCTGATTTGGTTGGAGTTTATGGAGTCAGGGCCTCCTGGGCCTCCAGCTGCCCATTCTAGAATCTGGGCCAGGAGCTCTGCACTGGACAATGGTCCATAGGGCCTTTCAGGCCTGCTGACACGATACTGCTCTTCATGGAGGGGTGTGAGGGCCCTGGCCTTGAGCCCAAGGCTGGGTGTAGATTGGACAAGGCTCTGTGGGGAGTGCCCACTGCACAATACCAGTGATGCCTGGCTGATGGCACAGGCTGGCTGTATTCTGCCCTTTGGGCATGAAGTTGTGTGCCTGATGTCCCTCCCTCCTTTCTTAGATCACATCTCCCCTTCTGCCCCTGTGCAGCTTCTCTCTCAGGCTGGAGCTGGCTCCGGATCCAGGCCTCCCCTGGGGCCAAGGCCAGTGTCCTCTCCACCCCAGCTGGAACTTGTCCTACTTCCCTCTCCCTCCGGTTACATGATAGCTGGAGAGCCAGAGGCGGCCCCTCCCTGGGCTCGCAGGAGAGATTAGTGGGAGTTTCCCTGACCACAGGGTGCTCAGCAGCCTCACCTCAGGCTTCCCCATCCTTGCAGGTGGGGGTGGACCACAAGAGCTGAATGGCCCAGGGCGGGACACTTCTCTGAGCCTTTGCTCATCCACAGGATAGGAAAACCAGGTTAAGCCTCCAACTAGTCTGTGATGTTTTAGGGTAGGGTAGAAGGGACAGATCTCTTCCCTTTTGGTGCCTTGGATGTGGTTGTAGGTAGGGCCCTGGCTAGAATTGGGGGTGGGGGGTCTTTTTAGCCCTAGGTGACTCTTAGGAGATAAACCAGGGAAGTATTATCCTGGGAGGTAAGCCAGGCTGGACTGAGAAGGGAGGGGAGGAGCCAACCCAATCACTGAGTTCCTCTCAGACCCTCCCCTGCCCCAAAGAGACAACCACTCCAGGCTTCCAGCTTTCAAAGGGCTCCCTCCCCAGGCTCTGCAGGGAGACAGTGCAGGGTGCTGGGATGGGTGGCCACGGTGGTGGGGGGCACTGATTGCTCTGGATCATTCTGAGTGGAGCGCCTGTGTTCTCCTGTCTTCCCTCCTCTTCCTCTCTAGTCCCTTTGCTCAGTTGGCCTGTAGGTGGGAGGGAGTTGACTCCCACTGGCATCTGGGACGACCAGAGGGCCTGGCTGCTTTGATTTGCCCCTTTAAGAGCCGCTCGGGGGTGGGGCCTGCTGTCATTGGCTCAGTCTCCAGCTTCTGATTTGAGTGTGTGAGTGTGTGTGGTGGGGCTCTGGGCACCTTGTTACCAATAGGCTTTAACTCTTCGGTTTCCTGGCTCTGATCCCAGCTGTCCCTTCCCTGAGGTGGAAGGGTGAGGAGCAGATTTCCACATTTCCGTGTCACTTCGCTTGTCCCTTTCCCTGGGGGGGGGAGGAAGTAGATGCTTCTCTGGGGCCAGAGTAGGCTTCCATCCTCCACTCCCTATGGTGTGTGTATGTGGGGAGAAGCGGGCCTTAAAGGGCCTGTTTCTGTGCCCAGCCTTCGTGTACAAATCCTGTTCCATGCCAGACTCCAGAGGGTGTCCCTGCTCCACGGTGGGAGGTCCAGAGTGAGGTGCACAGGGCAGGAGGCTGAAGGCCCTGAGGCCCAGAGGAGTGCTTTCGGGCAGGAGCTTCTCCTGGGCACTGGGAGACAGGCTGCCCTGGGGCTGCCCTGGGGCTGCCTGTTGGGCCAGTACTAGGTAAACAAGTACCTGTGTTGATTTCACCTCCTGAGGGATGGAGTGGAAAATCAGCCCCGAGCACTCCACGCAGGCCCAGAGGCCTTGGGATGAGGGTGGCCTGGGCAGGGAACAGTCAGGAGGCGGAGAGGGTGGAGCAGAGTGAGCGGTGGCTGGTGTCCTTGGAGGCTGTGGTCAGGAATTTGTATTTTTTAAAAAATATATTTTTATTGATTTCAGAGAAGAAGGGGAGAGAGAGAGAAATAGAAACATCAATGGTGAGAGAGAATCACTGATTGGCTGCCTCCTGCAAGCCTCCTACTGGCGGTCGAGCCTGCAACCCAGGCATGTGCCCTTGACTGGAATCGAACCCGAGACCTTTCAGTCTACAGGCTGAGCCAAACCAGCTAGGGCAAGAGTTTGTATATTTTATTTTTTCTGGATGCAGTGGGTACTTGAAGGGATTTGAACAAGGAAGAGCTGGAGAAAAAGACCTCTGGCTGCTGTACGGGGATGGCTTGTTGGGGAAGAGGTTGCAGCACTGGACCTTTCCCCACCCTCTCCTCCTGCACGACCAGCAAAATCTCCTTGGGTTCTAACTGGGGAGGCCTTGCCCGTCCCTAATTAGTGACTCACTGATTCCAGGCCGCCTGGCCCACAGCTTGCTCTTTCCTCCTGGCGAGGTGCTTGCTCAGAGTGCTGACCCATGTGTGGAGTGAACAGTGCAAAGAAGGTACTCCTTCTGGACCTGGGGCCTGCTCACTGCTGTGCCCTGGTGCCGCCAGAAGGAAGAGTGCTCTCCACTGCCTTACCTGGTGGCAGCTCTTCTGGCCTCTTTCCTCGGGCAGGTGCTGAGGTGGATCGGGTGCACGTGTTTCATGCAGAGTGGTGTGCATCCATGCTGGGTGAGCCCTGGGCGTGGTGTGTTGGGAGGAGGCCTTGGCAAGCTGTTTTAGCATCAGACACTGACCCTTTTTTGTTGTTGTTAATCCTCACCTGAGAATATTTTCCCCATTGACTTTTAGAGAGAGTGGAAGTGAGGGGGAGAGACACACAGAGAAACAGACACATGGATTGGTTGCCTCTTGCACACACACTAACCCGGAGCCCGGAATTGAGCCTGCAACCAAGGTACATGCCCTTGACTGGAATCCAACCTGGGACCCTTCAGTTCACAGGTCGAGGCTTTAACCACTGATCCTTTTGATCAGGAATGTTTATCTCAGGGCTGTCTTCCCCTGTGTGGCCTATAGGTACAGCTGAGTGTTAGTGGGAGTAGCAGCCAGCAGTCTGATCTGGCCTCTGTGGGTCAAGGTGTCAAGACAGATGGTCCCCGGCTGGGGAGGAGCTGGAGGGTCTTCATGTCAGTGCTTCCTTATTTGCCTCATGCAGCCCTTTTAGTGGCTTTGGGCAGAGGGTAGGACTGGGACTTTTTTAAAAAATGTGATTTCAGCCTGTGCTTTGGCTTTCTATCATGTGGCAGGCACTTGGTGCCTTCTCATTTATATCTTGTTCAGCTCCCACAACAACCTGTGAAATAGCTGTCAGTTGCATGTCATGGATGAGGAACTGGAGACCCCTCCCCCTCCCCCTTCCCCTGACATCACAGCTCATGTGGCAGCTCTAAGATGAACCTGTGTGTTAGGTCTGTAGGGACACCTGGGCCCTTTTCCTCATACCACATCCACCTTTTCCCTCAGTTCCTTGATGAGAAAAATAGGCCCCAAGTGGCTAGGCCCAGGCCTCAGCATGGTCAGGGCTGGCCAGGGCAGGGGCAGCTGTCAGGGAGAGGAGGTGAGAACTTTGTGGCTAGACCTGTGCACACAGAAACCTGCACAAGACCTTGAATTAGTCCTAACTATTAGATCTGTGTGGTCAGGATCCTCCAGCGTTAGATTCTCAGAGGGGTTAATGCCGTTGCTGTAAACAGAGCGGGTATTGTTAGCCCCATTTTACAGATGAGGCAGTTGAGCCTGCTAAGGTGATAGGACTATCTAGGGGTACCCTGCTAGTTATCCTTGGAGTTGGGATTAGATCTCAGGTTCTAGTCACACTCTAGGTTTCGACACTTGTTTAAATATGTAGGAGACATAATTTACTTAGCAGGCATTCTTTGTGGTCAGGCGCAGTGGTTCTCAACATTGCTATGCATTAGAATTACCTGGGGAACCTTTAAAAATTCCAGGCTCCGCATACATGAGAACTTTTAAGGTGGGCCTGGGTATCAGTGTCCCAGGTGGTTACACTGCAGCCAAGGGCGAGAATCCCTGGTGTGGGCTATGAAGCCACATCGCTGCATGCCAGAAAATGCTGACACTGGTTTTATTCTGCTGAAATGTCTGAGGTGGGGTCTGGTTATCTTTAAAAAATGAAACCCTCAGTTCCTCATTGAGCCCCTTCTGGGTGCCGGCTCTAGGGGTAGTGGTGGTGGTGGTGTGGTGTGGTGTGGTTGTTGAGGCACTGGAACTGTAGTTTCTGGTGGATGGGGGTTTGGCTAAAAAAGGTAAAAGTTGTGTGTGTGTGTGTGTGTGTGTGTGTGGGTGGGGGGGGGGGTGGGCTGTTGAGGCCCTGGAGCTGTGGTTTCTGGTGGATGGGGGCTTGGCTAAAAAAGGTGAAAGTTTGGACACCTGAGTCAGAGATGAGCAGGGAGAGTTGAGAAAGAGGAGGTAATGGCTGCTTCCCCAAATGTCTCTGCTTAGCCCCAGTAAACTACTTCAATCTGTCTCTGCCAGGCCATGGTGGCGTGTTATCCAGGCAATGGGCTGGGGTACGTGAGGCACGTTGACAATCCCCACGGTGATGGGCGCTGCATCACATGTATCTATTACCTGAATCAGAACTGGGACATCAAGGTAGGGTGTGGGGGTGGGGATGGGGGGGGTATGGTGTGCATCCACTTGGGTTTCCACTTCCAGCTCAGCTGCTAACCTTCTCTGGTTCCTCTTCTCTACCCACCTGGGGGTGGGGCAATCTGGCCCCTGGCTCCTCCTGGAGAATGGCACCTCCTTTCCAGCTGTGTGGTAGCAAAGGCCTCTCCTTCGAAGAATGGTGCAGTCCGCCCAGGCCCTGGCATAATGAATCCTCCCCTCTATTTCCTCTCTTCTTTAGTAGTTTCCTGCCCATCTCCATGGTAATGCAGATTCTAGGTTGGCATTCATTTTTAAGAGGCTGAATGGTGGGAGGGAGTGCTGTGTGCAGCTGCTATGCCCCTGGTGGGCTCCTGGGGACAGTAAGTGCCAGCCTCCTGCTTCAACCTCTGGTCTGCCCTCAGGTGCATGGCGGCCTGCTGCAGATCTTCCCTGAGGGCCGGCCTGTGGTAGCCAACATTGAGCCACTCTTTGACCGGCTGCTTATTTTCTGGTCTGACCGGCGGAACCCCCACGAGGTGAAACCAGCCTATGCCACCAGGTATGACCCATACTCTGGGATACGCTCAGGAATTCCCCCTGCATGACTAGGACACGATGAAGTACTGAGAGGGGACCTAGGTGGGAACAGAACCAGGCTCAGGGTAGGCTCTAGTGTCACTGTGGATATGGTGGCTGGAACTGAAGAAAAGTGATCTCTAACTGCCTTCCAACACTGCTCTGGTCCTCAGGTACGCCATCACTGTCTGGTATTTTGATGCCAAGGAGCGAGCTGCAGCCAAAGACAAGTATCAGCTAGGTACCCGCTTCCCAAATGGTGTCCCCTCCCTCAAGTCCTTCCTATTCCACAACTTCACCAGGGCTCTAGCCATCTCATCCACTTCAGTTTTTTACTAAGTTCCGCTGCGTTTTTCCTTACCTCTGCCCACCTTTCCTAGTCAGCCACTCTCCTGGTTACCCCAGCATGAGCCCCATCTCTTCTGGTCCTTTCCTCCCCTTCCCAGCTTTTTCATAGCCTCTTAGTCCTGTCCCTGCTGACTCATTATCTCCTGTCCCCCTCCCTCCCACCAGCATCGGGACAGAAAGGTGTTCAAGTACCTGTATCTCAGCCGACTACGCCCACCTAGTGGCCAACCCCAGAGCTGCATGGACAACTTGCCTTGATTTCAGGAGAGCCCTGGGCTGGTGCTGCCTGGCTAGCGGCCTACCAGTCTCGGTGCCTGCTCCTACCCTGCCACCGCTGCTGCTTCCGACTTTGCCTATGTCCTGCCTGGTGTGGAGGGTTCCCTTAGTTGCTGAGGACCAAGGAGGGGAGAGACCTCTGCTGGGACCTGGGTTGTGACCTGGGCAGGGGCCAGTACTGGGGGGCTACCTTTACTGGAGCTGGGGGCCTGTGTCTTGCCCTGTCTAGTCGTGCCCCTCTCAGGTGTGGAGAGCTGGAAGGGGGCATTATCATCTCCCACCAGGATGCAGAATTTGGGATTGAGGTGAGTCATGGCCTCTTGCTGGCAAAGGTTTGTAGGGGGAGTACCTGCAAGCCCCCTCACTCCTCCAGCTTAGAATGTGAAATGACTCCCAACCCTCTTGGCCATGGCACCCTTTGGACTAGGCTGCCGCTGCTTGGGCAGGTAAAAGGTGCTGGGAGGAGTATGGGTGTGAAAGTCCTGTCAGCCAAGAAATAAAAGTTTACCTCAGAGCTGCACATATCTGACTCCTCCTCTTCCTCTTGGCAAGGACATGCCTCCATCTGCAATTCATGGCCTTTGTTAAACAAAGGGGGTAAGAAGGTCTGAGAGTCAGTGAGCAGAGGGTGGCTGAGTCGGACCTCAGGGGCCACCAGGTAGAACTGGAAAGTGAAGGGGACATTGCCAAGGCCTGGTGCACTGCAGGGTGAGGTCCTTGGTGGGGCTCCCCACAAGGAGCGGACAGAACCGCTGCAGAATGGTGGTGAGGAAGAGGAGGATCTCTGATCAGGCCAGGCCTGCACCCAGTACATCCACTTTCCTGGGGACACAGATTAAGGGTAAGCACCCCATGTATCCTAGGGTCTGCCCAAGCTGGCCCCCTTTTTGTGTGGCCCATAACTGGGGCAAAGGGCATGAAGAAACTGGCCCTTATCCAGAAAGTTGGTGGAGTTGAAACAGTATGGATTCTTGAATTGGATAGGGTCCCATGTGCAGACACACAAGCAGAGAAATCATGAAGGTGCCCTAAAGGGAATGTGCAAGTGCCCATGAACTTGGCAAGATTGCCTTTCGTTGCCTTTCATGTAGAAGCCACTGGGAAGGGGAGCTTTATTTCTTGCTCCCAGGACTGCACATACGCTCATGTCTGCTAATCTCAGTGAACAGGAGCTCCCCAGCCCTGTGCACAATCCCCAAGCTCGGTGAACAGCTTGGGCAGAAAGTGGCCATGCAGGTGGGCATTGCAGGTAAGGCACACGACAGTCCCAACGTTAGTCCTGGCTCTTCTGCCACAGTGTGTTCATGTGGGGCAACCTTGGGAAGCGTGCCAGACCTACCATGGTGTCCACCTTCACCTGCATGTGGTCTGGGTCCAATGAAGTGTGTGAGACACACACACATATACCCACTCCCCATCCCTAGCCATCCCTAAACCCTAACCCTCTCAACTTGGGCTTTCCTGCTGGCATACATGTCACCTCTGGGAACTTGAGAAGAGGGAGAAGCCAATAGGTTAGGGTGGTGCTTGTGGTCTCTCTGCTGCTGAAGAAAAGGTTATGTATGGTCACCACCAAAGTTTCCTCCTGGAAGTAACTCTGAGTCTGTTCCTGCGAACAGAGGAGAGGGCTGCTGCTGAGTGCTAGGTGCCTCATTGTGGGTGGCATGGGTGGAGTTTAGGATAGCAGGGGCCTGCACCTTATCCATTTGATCTAGGAAGCAATCCATGAAATCATGAAGCTCCTTGAGGTTTCGGTGGTGTAGGCCAGGGAGCCCGTCCAGGAGGGAGGGTAAAATGTACACCTCGGGAGAGGATCTCAATAGGACGAGCAAGACAGTTTCCCTACGGGGAGATTGGACCTTGATGTCATAAATTCTATAACTTCTATTCCAAGATTCTGAGTCCTATTCTAATGATCCACTCTAGGTAGTTTTATGTACTCAGCATTTGGCATAGGTTGGGCTCTCGCCCATCTGGAACTCATGATGCGAAAGTTGTCATTGAAGTCCAGAAGCCTCAGAAACTCTGGATCTTCGTAGCCATAGTGGTTCCCAAGACCAGGAAACGTAACATTAGATACGTGGGCATTATCTAGTAGCCGCCAGGTTCTAACAGGGCTCCTGGTAGTGAGAACACAACCAGATTATAAAGCTGCTTCCAGCTAGCTCTTGGACTTACTGGCTTTTTTCCACTCAGCGGCCTCTTCCAACCATTGGCTACACCTACACCAGGCCCCTCTCCGAACAGGCTGCAGCAATGGTGGCTCAAATTTGCCAAGCAAACAAGCCACCTCCAGGACAGTCCTCCATCGCAGGGGTACCAGCCCATTTAAGCGCTCGAGTGTAAATTTGCTCAGCATCCTCCAGGGCAGCCCCATAGAAAACACTGCCTAGCCTGGCCGGTGTGGCTCAGTGGTTGAGCGTGAACCCATGAACCACGAGGTCACTGGTTCTATTCCCAGTTGGGGCATATGCCGGGGTTGCTGGCTCTATCCCCAGTACAGGGCATGCAGGAGACAGCCGATTGATGTTTCTATCTCCCTCTCCTCTTCTCTCTGATATCAATGAAAATATATTTAAAAAGAAAGGAGACCTGATGCCTGGGGGTAGGGCAGAAGGGGGCGGCCTGGGAGCTATCCCTGGCCCTCCTCCAGCCAGAGGCCGACTCCTTGGTATCCCTTGGCTCAGCTGCTTTTCCAGACCGCTTGGCTGCCATCCCAGCCTTCCCCACCCTCTCTCTACATTGGTCCCACCTCTGCTGGTCCCCATCCCTGACCAATGTTTGCTCTCTGGCTCTTCTATTGCTGCTGGAGGAACCAGACCCCGAACTGGACCCTACACTTCAGCTCCGCCCCACCTCGCCATTTGCGCTCCTGAACATTGATTCTCTGCTAGGCCCCACCCCCTTTCGCTGCCCCCTCCCCTTTATCACCCTGACCCGGTGCCCAGGCCTGCTCTTCCGCCTCCCAGCCTCACTTTCTGGGAAGCGTTTAATGATTGCTATGGCCCTAGCCAGTTTGGCTCAGTGGATAGAGCATCGGCCTGCGGACTGAAGGGTCCGGAGTCGGGCACGGGCCTCAGTTGCAGGCTCCATCCGGCCCTGGTGGGGGCTCCTGTGGGAGGCCACCGACAGATGTGTCTATGTTTCTTTCTCTCCCCTCCCTTCCACTGTAAAAGTCAATGGAAATATAGCCTCGGTTGAGGATTAACACAAAAAATAAAGACTGCAATGGCCCTGTGGCCAGAAGGTACCCGCCGGCAGCTCGGATGCGCCCCCCAGCGCTGCGTGGCCGCACAGCACCACTGCGGGCGCGGCCCCGACGCACTGTGAACCGGCCTGAGGCCAGAGATACACGGAGCGGTGCTCAGCGGGTCCTGGGGAGCTCCTCCCCCCGCCACCCCCAGACCCCAGAGCCGGCCCACAGCTCCTTCCTCCTCCAGACCCTGGAGTTCCCGTCTCAGCCTCTCATTCCGGGCTCAGGAGTTCACATCGCCAGCTTCTTCCCTCAGGCCCAGGAGTCCAGGCTCCCTCTTTCTCCTTCCCTCAGGATCTAGGAGTCCAGTTCCCAGGCCCCTGCACCCACAGAACTAGGCATCTGGACCCTCAGTATTCCCCCCCACCCCCCCCAGTCCTGAACCAGGAGAACCTCAGCTCCCCTCTCCCCACCCATTGCTCAGGCTCCTCCCTCAGGGCCCAGGAATGGGGTTGGGGATAGGGTAGTGCAACTCCGCCTTTAACCTGGAGCTCAGGCCCACTGTCCCCCTTCCCTCGAGATCTGACTCCCCCACCCCACCCCGCTCCTCTTCCCAGACTACCAGCAGTCCAGGCCCCAGCCTCCCGCCCCACCCAACGCCGCAACCTCTCATCGAGCCCTCAGCTGTCTTCATTCAGAGAACCAGGAGCTCCAGCTCCCAGCCCCACCTCCACGAATCCAGAATTCTGTACCAGCACCCACTGTCAGCACTGCCTCTAGACTAGAGGCAAGGTCTGTCCGGGCTCCAGCAGCTGCAAGCTCCCGGGCAGGGGAAGAAGCGTGGGCGGGGGTGAGGGGGGGCTGTAGGCGAGGGGGTTGTGGGGCGGGCTCTGTCAGTGCTCGCACTTCAGCCTCGCCTGCCGAGCGCCAGGAGCAGGAGGAGTAGCAACAGCAGCGCTGCGATTCTTGTGGTCACTGTGCCCTCATCTTCCATGCCTGCGCCCTTGGATGGCGGGCGGGGCAGGGCGTCTGTGACTGCTTCTTCCCCAGATTCCCGATCCAAGGTCATCCCACCTCAGCCCTAGCACTGCTGTATCTTACACTTGGCCTTTATTTGTATTATTTGTAATTGGTTTTAGAGAGAGAGGAAGGGAGAGGGAGAGAGAGAGAGACATCTATGAAAGATAACATCCATGGGCTGCCTCCTGCACGTCCCCTGCTGGGGACCCAGCCGCAACCCAGGCATGCGCGCTGACCAGGAATACAACCCCTAGGGTGCATGGGTTGATGCTCAACCACTGAGCCACACTGCTGGGCCTTAAAAATTTTTTTTTAATCCTCACCCGGGGATATGTTTTTATTGATGAGAGAGAGAGAGAGAGAGAGAGAGAGAGAGAGAGAGAGAGAGAGAGAGAGAGAGAGAGGAGATGAATGTGAGAGAAAAACATCGATAAGTTGCCTCCCATATGAGCCCTGGTCAGGGATAGAACCCACAACCTGAGTATGTGCCCTGATCAGAAATGGAACCCGAGACCTTTTGATGTGCCAGACCACACTCCAACCAACGCAGCCACATCAGCCAGGGCTGCCTGGCCTTTTTGTACCGGCCTCAGTCTGCCCTATTTGGCAACTTTCATGCACCAGCATTTCTGTGTCATTGCATTGCACTTTCTGAGCCTTTAGCACCTTTGGGTCCATCTTAATTTGGCCTGTAGGAGTGCATTCTTGAATCTTCCTGAGCCCATGATCCCTGAACACTGTACGCTGTACAGATATGCAGTGATGACCGATGTCTAGGTCAACAATAGACCACATATACAGCGGTGGTCCCACAGGATTATAATGGAGCTGGGAAATCCTATTGCCCAGGGATGCCGTAGCCGTGGTAAGGTCATAGCTCAACCCATTGCTCACATGTTTGTGGTGATGTTGGTGTAAACAAACCTGCACTGCCAGCTGTATAAAAATATAGCACGTATAATTATGTTCAGAACTTAATACTTAATGATGGTTATAAATGACCAAATTACTGATTTGTGCATTTACTACACTATACTTTTAAAAATCATTAATTTAGAGTGCACACTTTCAACTTTAAAAAGTTTGCTGTACCCTTAGCTGGTTTTTCTCAGTGGATAGAGTGTGGGCCTGTGGACTGAGGGGTTCCGGGTTCAATTTCGGCCAAGGGCACATGCCGGGTTGCAGGCTCAACCCCCAGTAGGAGGCATGCAGGAGGCAGCTGATCAGTGACTCTCTCACTTCATTGATGTTTCTCTCTCTCTCTCTCTTTCTCTCCCTTTCCCTTCCTCTCTGAAATAAATAAAAATATATT